CTTTGGGAGGCTGAGGTGAGTGGATTGCTGAGCCCGCGGGTTCAAGAACCGCCTGGGCAACTTGGTGAGACCTCATCTCTACAATAAATCAAAATGAGCCGGGCATGGTAGCACATGCCTGTTCCAGCGACTTGGAAGGCTGAGGCGGAAGGATCGTTGGAGCCCAGCGGGTCAAGGCTGCGGTGGCCGGGAGCAGCCACTGCACTCCAGTCTGGGTGACAGAGGTGAGACTCCAACTCAAAAAAACCCCCAAAAAACAGAAAAACAAGACATCCAAGTGGAATTGTCAAAAGGCCAGGTGGTCATAGAATATAAGTCTGGAAGTCAAGTCTAATGTAATAAATGTAGGCTATTCAGCATTTAGATGGTATTTTACGAGATGACCTAGGGAGAAAGTGTAGAAAAGAGCAGGGAGGCAGTACCAGGTCCAGCAGAGAAGGAGAACTTAAAGGATGACTGAGAAGGAGCAGCCCTCAAGGTCAAAGGAAATCCAGGATAGTGCATTGTCCAGATGCTGAGGGAGAAGGGCATGGTCAGCGCCCATTATAGCGAGAAGCTTAGTGAAGAGCACAGATGCTGGAGAGTCTTCAACCCTTTTCAGCTGTGTGGCCATGGGGAAGTTTCATTTTTCTCCCTTGTATATTGGAAACACTGATATCAACTCACAGGGTTGTAATAATGAAACAGGGTAATAGGAAAGCACTTGGCACAGAATCCAGAAAAAGTAAACACTAAGACAAAAACTCAGACTTGACAGCCATCACCATCGTCATTATTATGAAATAGGGCTTCAACCATATCTCCATAATAAATATCATAGTGAGATTCTTTTATCTTGTTCTTATAATATCCCTCCATGCAAGCCTACGGGATAATGCCAAAGCAAATTTAGGGTGGAGCATTTGTACAAAGTGGCAAAAACAGTGTAGAATAGAGCTAAGGCTTTCTGGTCGTCTAATTGGTTACAAAGATCTAATCTAAAGGAATGGAGGATTTTCATACACTTAGGGCAGTTCTCCGGCAAGCCAGACTTGAGCTAGATGTGCTAGACCACCTTGGCCTGGAACGTAACGTTCAGGCCCACTGTGGTCCACATAAAGCCCATCGAAGTCCTCAGGTACCACAGGACATGGGCCTTCTCTGTTGAAAGGCCAGGCCTTCCTTCATGTCCTGGATGTGGCCAGGGTCCAGCACTTAGTCATCATCCTGTATACATCTGACAGAGGAAGAAGAAATTTACGACGTCAACTTCTTTGGGCACTGTTATTGGTTGAATTGTATCCCCCAAAAAAGACACATTGAAGTCCTAACCCCCAGTACCTCAGAATGTGACTTTATTTGGCAAGAGAACCATTGGAGGTGTAATTAGTTAGGATGAGGTCATACCGGAGTGGGGTAGATCCCTAATCAATAGGAAGACATATACATGAAGACAGAGAAGGGAGACAAGCACCATATGACAAATACAGAGCCTGAAGTTATGCAGCAGCAAGCCAAGGAACACCTAGGATTGCCAGCAAACCAGCAGAAACTAGGAAGAGGCCCAGAAGATACCCCTACATGCCGTCAAGAGAGCATAGCTCTGCTGAGATCTTGGTTTTGGTAATGTCCCAACCTAGCCTTTGGCCTTAGCATAAGACAGCTTTCCGAGTTGGATGTTTCACAAGGTCTTCTGAAACTCTAGTATTGAAAAGTGTCTGGATGGTACTCAAAGACTGTATTCAACTTGAAAGCAAACTGCATTGCTGAGGAACACTACTATGGGATGGGATTAAAATTAATATCTAATAAGATGAATCGATAGAGGAATTTGCAAGGGTGGTTCAGTTTATCAGTTGGCATTCTTAGTGACTCCTTTTCTCCAGGAAAAAGACCAAGACATTTGTTCCTTGTTAGCCCTATAAGTATCTATATTGATTAAATTCCAGGGCATAATATACCATTATCCATTCTGGGAGGTAGGGGATTCCATCCCAGGAAGGCTCACCATGGTAGCAGACAAAGCAAACGGAGGAAAGAATGACAAATACAAATAGCTGTAAATATGTGCTATACACAATGAATGAAATGTTAATATATTAATAATGAAGATGACAAGATGTCAAAAAAGCTTGTAATGTGATACAATGGAATATCAACGCACAATAAAAGCAATGGAAGAACAACCTACTCATTCAGGAACATGATGAACCGCAAAAAACATAACACTCAGAGAAGGAAGTTGGACTCAAAAGAGTCCATACTCCATGATTCCATTTATCGGATGCTCTAAAACAGGCAAAACTGATCTCTGGTGATGACACTCAGAACAGCCATTGCATTTCTGGGGTGGAGTAGAGAGAGTAAGGCAAGGTTCATCTGGAAGGGGCATGAAGAAGCTTCCGGGAGACAGAACAGGTCCTGTCTTGATAGAGGAGGAGGCTATACAGGTTTATACATCTGTCAAAGCTCATCTGCCAGTAATCACAGAGTTCGTGCATTTCACTATGTGTAACTTATACCACCATACAATTTTTTAAATAATTGAAAACAGTGAGTTTTAAAATATATGGTTATTGTAAAGAATTTGGAAAGAAAATAATTTTAAAAAACATTGAGTCTAAGTGTGATGGCTCATGCCCATAATCCCATTCGGGAAGCTGAGGCCAGAGAATCACTTGAGGCCAGAAGTTTGAGATTAGCCTGGGTAATATATCAAGATCTCATCTCTATACCCCTGCCACCTCCCGCTCCGCAAAAAAAAATTAGCTAGACATGGTGCTGCATGCCTGTAGTTCCAACTACTTGGGAGGCTGAAGCAAGAGGATCACTTGAGGTCAGAAGTTTGAGGTTACAGTGAGCTATGATCACACCACTGCATTCCAGCCTGGGTGACAGAGCAAAACCCTGTTTGAAAGAAAGAGAGAGAGAGAGAGAGAGAGAGAGGAAGAGAGGGAGAGAGGGAGGGAGGGAGGAAGGAGGAAAGAAAAAAGAGGAAAAGTAAAGGAAATAACCACCATCTATAGTAAATAATATTAATTTATTTTATTTATTTATTTATTTATTTATTTTTTGAGTTGGAGTCTCACTCTGTTGCCCAGGCTGGAGTGCAGTGGCCGCTTCCGGCCACCGCAGCCTCACCTGCTGGGCTCCGGCAATCCTTCTGCCTCAGCCTTCCAAGTAGCTGGAACTACAGGTGCGCGCCACCACGCCCGGCTAATATAGTATTAATTTAATATAAAGTGTAATGTAAACATGTTAGTATGGAAGTTAAATAAAGCATAAGATTAGAGTGAATATGTAACTTTTGAATCCAACTTTATCATTTTATTCTAAGCATTTTTTTATACTAAGTAAAAAAAGCAGAGCACAAAACTGATATTCATGCTGTTATTACTTCTATTTAAAAATCACTATACAAGCCGGGCTCGGTGGCTCAGCCTGTAATCCCGTGCCTTTAGGAGGCTGAGGTGAGTAGATTGCCTGAGCCCGTGGGTTCGAGACCTGCCTGGGCAGCAAGACCTCATCTTTACAATAAATCAAAAAATCAGCCAGGTGTGGTAGCGCATGCCTGTAATCCCAGCTACGTGGAAGGCTGAGGCGGAAGGATCACCGGAGCCCAGCAGGTCAAGGCTGCGGTGGCCGGGAGCGGCCACTGCACTCCAGTCTGGGCGACAGAGTGAGACTCCAACTCAAAAAAAAAAAAAAAATCACTATACATACAAACAGGGTTTTAAATAAAATCATAGCGAATAGTTGGAATTTTCCATATTGCAACTGTAGAATGTGTGTGGTTTTCTATTCTTTTAATAAATGTCCTTTATCTGTCTAATAAATAATAATCATGATTGAAAGGACAGACTGAGAGAGGGAAGCCATTTTTCATCTTGTTCTTAAACCTTGACACAATGATGAGAAAATAGAAGCTGTGCTTTTGGAGAAATGCACACTTTAGGTATAATTAACTTTACCGACTTTGTCTTTTCAGACACAGACTTCCGGATATCTGAGGTATCTCATAGTGGCCATCAAGCTTGCCTAGAGTAAAGGGAATTTACAAGGCCTAAGACATCATGCATTGGGCAAGGACTGTACAAGTCATGAAACTTGAAATTACAAAAGTTATGACCGCTCAAAGGGGGAGCAGGTGGGGATTCGATCTTCCAGTAAATTGGGCGCTATCTACAGGGAAACCAAGGATCCCCCAAAGCTACCTACTGGGAATGCCTAGGAGATAAGGGGAGGTACACCCTCCATTAGGGCTAAGGAATGTCATTTGGGAAGGTACAGCAGAATTAGAATCCTTGTCACGCCCTTCTCTAGGGGCTGTGATAATGTGGGCGGACAATTAATGGGTCTCTGTGTCACAGGTTCTCCAAGACAGCCACAGGTGGTCGATAAGGAAGTCACAGCAGTCATGGCAGTCACGTGCAACATCTCCAAGAGAAGGATTTAAGCCAGGACTCTGGGGGGCTACGACGCCACACTCACCTAGAGTGTGGGCCCACTCCCTGTCTGTGGGGGGTGAACTTCTCTTAAATCTTTTCTTCTCTCACCTCTGTGTATTGCAATTCTTTGCATCTGCTCAGATCTCTGGGTTGCCAGCACGCACCTCCGGCTTGCCAGCCGCGGCAGTGCTGCACCCCTCCACCCTCACTGGGTCCGTCCGTATCCTAACAATGATGGGAAAACAGGCTTTAGGAGGAAAGATGAGAGCAACTGAGGTAATTTCCCAAGTGGAAAGCACACTTTAGGGCCATTTGCTGATAGTCTTCACATGTAGAAAGCTGTAGCCGGGCTCGGTGGCTCAGCCTGTAATCCTGCACCCTTGGGAGGCTGAGGTGAGTGGATTGCCTGAGCCCGCAGGTCCGAG